GCATACATAACATAACAGAACCTAGAACAGCCATGCGTATCGAATCAAACTCCAGTCTAAACAACCCTGTGCACATAACATTCAATCATATAACAGTTCGCAGTCAACAAATCGATCAAGCAGATCACATATCATTACCCTAACCAGGATACCGACCTAGCCGATCACAAGCATATATCACCCTATGTCTCAGTCAAGATACTACTTACACACATACGCCTTTCCAAGCTATGACCTTTCGGTCCACATAACGTAGAATGCTTTCCGGCCCATATCATAATGCCTTCCGGCCCATATCAAGCAATACCATAACAAATAACTACCCGGATTTCCATCCGGTAAAGGGTCGGCCTTGGTGCCGTAGACCCTATTGATATAGTGAGGATAACTCACCTCGAACTGTCGGCTGAAAGGATAAGATCCCGCTGCTCCGAACTCCAACACGAACTCCTCCACTGAACACCAAAACACTCAACTCAATATATATCCTTAATTACCAAAATACCCCTGGACGACAACTGGTCAACCTTGGACAAAGTCAAAGTCAACCCCTGACTGACTCTACTCACTGAGTCAACCCAATGACTCGCCGAGTCCCCAAGCTCAGAACTTCCCTCAACCCGCGACCTAACTCGCCAAGTCACCCCGAGACTCGTCGAGTCCCACAACTCTGAGTCCACTCGCACCCAACTCACCGAGTCATCCCTTGACTCACCGATTCTCGACTCAACCAGAAAATATTGGGACTCTTCGACAAGACTCGCCGAGTCCAAGAACAGACTCGCCGAGTCTAAGGCTATCTTCAATCTACTCGCCGAGTTGTTCATCCAACTCGTCGAGTTCCAGCTTATCTTCAAGCAACTCGTCGAGTCCACCCTTGTGACTCGCCGAGTACAACCGGTCTGAATCCAAACAGAAGTATTTCCAGGCCATGCAATTGATCCAAAACATAGATCTAGCCTCCTACAACCCATCCATCACGTAAAGTGGTAAACTTTACGTGAATCCAAAGAGATCTAGGCCTTATTCACTTTAGAGCTAGGGTTTGGGACATGATGGCTTCACTAAGCACTCAAACACAGGAACTTTAATGCACTCTAGGCCTTCAATATTCCAGATCTGAGGTAGCAACCTCAGATCTAACCTCCAAACTCCAAAACATACCAAGATATACTCCCCACAAACCCCAAAATGATGAATCCATATGAGTGATAGCCCAAGAACGAGATATTACCTCAAAAGAATGCTCCAACTGCAATGAAACTCGAATCCAAGCAAAGCCCTTTGATCCAAGCCTCTTTTCCTTCAAGATTTCTTCAACAAACACCTCTCCAAGCTACAAATGCACTCCAATCTTCTTCAATCATGCTTTCTAGGGTTTCTGGACTTCAAGGGGGATCAAAGAGGTTGGGGAGAGGATATAATGTTCTTTAAATATGGCTCATTCCCCGGATTTAGGGTTTCTCCACTCAGCACCTACTCGCCGAGTCCATCTTTCGACTCGCCGAGTAGGCCACCTGACTCGCGACCAAAGTCGTGACCCTACTCGCCGAGTCCATCCATGGACTCGCCGAGTTGCCCTTCAAAATTTACACTTTTAGTCCTTCTACTCTACTCTTGCTATTCTGGGATGTTACATTAACCGTCTTACTCTTGCCGAATCTAGATACTATGTTGAAATACAAATGGACACCACATATTCCATGATGAGCGTGAGGAAAAATGTTGGCAACGGATGTTGCTATAGATGGAGACCTATCAAATATAATTGTAAGCTCCTACATATTTCCTATGCAATCACGTAGTTTTTGAAAAAACCATGTCCAAGAACCGGTACACTTATTTTTGCATATACCATATGCAACCGGTAATATTTGGTTTTGTCCGTCCTTAGTAACTGCAAGTAACATGGTACCTTTGAACTCGCCCTTTAGGTGAGCTCCATCTACTACTAGGGTCGGCTTATAAAAAATTAACAAAAGCGCGTACCTACAATACATTGTATATCTATTCAAATACACCAAAATAAATATTAAAAAATTAATATAATATGATGATACTAACCGAGCAACCGAGTGCAATGTACAAAAACTCAAAGCGATCATCAGCATCTATTTTAATATGTGTGACAGTACCCGGATTATGTTTGGCCAAGTTGTGACAATACGCCGGAAGTTTGGTAAAAGAATCCTCTTTCGTACCCCTTAACGACAACAATGCATATTGCTTCGCACACCATGCCTGATGGTATGAGATATTGATATTCAATTGAGCATTCATATCATTAACAATTTCTTTTCCCCGATAAACTCTACTATAGTCTTCAGCCAAAACATCAACAACATATTCACCCAAAACATATTTGTTTGCTTGTCGATGATTAGGTTGCAACAATGTTGAAGAACATGTGTGTACATCAACAAATTTATTCACTTGGAAAAGTCCATCAGAATTTTTAATTGCTTTTGCTCTTAGTAACCAAGAACAATTTTTCGAAACACACACAGCTTCATACCTTGATTTGGTGGATCTACTTGTCCCCGTCTGGAAACCTTCTCGAAGACATTTTTTACCAATACATCGCTTTAAAAGTTCTTTGTTCTTAAATATACTCTCACATTGAATCTTTTGAAGATTCATGTCTACCATCTGTGTTGGGATATCTTCATTAATATCAACTGGCCATGCTGGTACAGGGGGCATACCGTGAAAAAGGTTATCGGGAAACTTAGTTTTAACTTCATCACCCAACTCATCTCTATCGGAATTGCTTTGTAGCTCGGTTATATCTAAACATACATCACCAACATCAACATAATGCCCGTAAACATGATTTTTTTCATTTTTTTGACTTGAATTTTTTTTCTTTTTAGTTTTATCTACCACACGCCTACTTATAACTTTAACTTCTTGTTCGGCAACATCATCACAACGACCACCCACATCATCAAGATAAGTACCAACATCATCATCACCAACATGCTTGTAATTCTCAGGATCCACATAGTGAATAGGTGAGTAACTAACATTAACATTTTCAGCAACACTGTGAAACTGAGGTACACTAGGAGTATTGAAAGTACCTATCGGATCGTTGCTCCCTTTATAACTGCATAAATTACCAATAAGCTGGTTTCCAATTTCACCACCCCCATTAACCTCCTCAACTTCATCAACCACCACAAACACTTTCACAGCCCTTCCTCCACTACATTTGATTACGTTTATCAACATTTTAACATCCATGTCTTCAACTATAGCTATATAATACTTTAATTCAGGATGGTGGAAACGAAGACTAATTCTATATTTGTCTAACAAACCAATTTTGCTTCTTACCAAAGATACAAAATCACTATAACTAATATACTCAGAAAATATCAAAGCAAGTTCAGAAATACCTCCCTGTGGACATATGTATTCTAGATTAGTTCCATTAACTTGCCATCTCCCACCGGTTACAAGACAAACCAAATATTCAATCATTTTTTGAGCAAATTGTAGAGAAAGTTCCTAAACAAATAACAACCAAAATGATATTTTTCTACAAAACTTTTTATATAGCAACATGATTTCGTAGTCAAACCAATTCATTTCATAGTCAAACTAAAAAAAAAAAACAAACAAAAAAAAAAACAAAAAAATCCACCATTTCGCAGATACAGTGAGAGTAAATCGCAGATGGACCTATTCCATCTGCGAATTTACCCCTATATATACAGAAAAAAAAAATTTAAAATAAAAATAAAACCACTTGCGAATGTACAAGCACCTAAAGCACAGCTGTGCTTTAGGTGCTTGTAGATTCGCAGATGAGATGCTGATTTCGCAGATGGGGCATCTCCATCTGCGAAATCGTTGGCTAATTTTGTAATTTCGATTTTTTTTTTTTTTTACTATTTTTGTAATGTCATTAGTGTAAATGGCTATTTTTGTTATTTTCTCATGTTATTATGGATTTTCAGTTATCATGTTTAATTCGAGATTATACGATGTATTGTAATTTTTATAATCATTCAACAAAATTCATTTGAGTAGTTCTATAAAACATGATTATTTCATTCAAACATCATTCAAAGGTTAAATTGGTTATTTTTTATTCACCATATTCATTTATTTTTATTCACCATATTCATTCAACACCATATACATTCGTTCAGTACCATATTCAACACCATATACAACTCTTCTACCTAAGTGGCATATACTGATATACATGATTGTACAAAGTGGTTTTTATTCAAAACAACTTTTTTGATTCTCTCTATTTACAAACTTAATAAGCAAACCCTAATCATTACACTATAGACACACTTGATCCTTAGCAAAAGATGATTAAAATGTTCTTGCGTTGTAATCTTTTGCAAAATAAGTTTATTTGGCTCACTAATTGCTAACATGTGCAATCATATATGATAACGATGATGAGTTGTTGATTCACATACAAAAGCTACAAGTCGAAACACTTTGTCAGATTTATTATTACTAATAAATCAAATATGCCTCAAAAAGACGTGTAACTAGAAGACATTAATATTCGGTATAAATAATAAACACATGCATTCCGCCATGTTTAAACAGCCTTAAAAAAATAAAAAAGACAACTAGCAAATAGTTTTTTTTTTTTTTTAACAATATCTTGTAATTATCTATGGATAATAAATTATTCATCAAGTTCGGTATGCTCAATGATATGCCGAGTGACGCAAACAATAACTCTAATATGCTTTTGGCCCTCAAAATATTTCCAAAAACAATGAAACATGTTACAAAAATTATGGTTTAATAGAACTAGAAATTTAGTATGTTAAGTGTTTGATATAAATCTTATAAATATTGATGATTTTTGTCATTTATGGTTTTTATAATTTGTCCAAAATGATTTATTCTATGTTTTACAATTTTACAATTAATTAACAGCAAAATCAAATTATATTACGTAAAAAAAAAAAGTCATTTCACTCGTGAAATTCACACAAAGTCACAAACCAGAGACTGAGTCAACAACTTTTGGGTCCAAAGTTATTTAGTGGAATTTTATCGCCCGATTTGGAGCCTTTCGGCGTCGTCGCCGACGTTGATGCTTCGCCGTCGCCGGAGACAACCCTCGGAGACCTAATGGAGAATGCTCGAGTCAAAAAAGATGGTGCCCTCGACAAAACCCACCGTTCTGACCTCACCACCACCCGGTCTAAACTCTCCAGCCGTCTGTAAGATTTTCTCCGGCCGCTACCTACTCCGGCCGTCCTGAACCCTTTCTTTTCACTCCCTTCTCCGGTCATCCTCACAGTGCTTCCCATCCGGTTTAGCAGAGCTCGATTCACGACTTGCTTCCTCACGTCTTCCGGCAACCGCAACGTAAACCGGTCTAGATTCTCCCCCGGTTGAACCAGCGAGTGTCCGGTCGAATGAGATCTAAACTTGTCGAACAACCTCGGGAATATCTGTGGCCGGTTCTGTTTTCCACTTTGGTTCCGGTTCAGCGACTCAGTATGCGTCGCTGGCTCTTGTATGTTGACTACAGGATCTTCAGCAATGGAAATGGAAACGGAACCAGAACCAGAACCAGAAACGCCGTCATTTTCTTCCCCAGCTGCGGTGGTCCGGTGATGTTCATCGCCTGAAACAGCTAGCTCCACCTCTGCGGGAACGTTACCGGACTCGCCGGAATCAGGAACGAGATTCGCACGGCAGACAGGGCAAGTGACGTGATTCTCGAACCAAGCGTCAATACACTCGGGATGGAAAACATGATCGCACTTCGGAATCAACCGGAGAGTTTCTTCATCTTCGTATTCATTGAGACACACGGCGCACTCAAGTGCTCCCTTCCCCAATCTTAAGCCCCTTCACGGAGGAGTAAACGAAGGTCGGAAACGTCTCGATCACCGTCGAATCGAGACCGCGTGACGCCACCGCAGCACGGCGTATGGAGACTCTACGGATAATACCACCTCCTTCGTTTGAGCGCCGCCGGATGTAAATCGAGAAACACCCCATTAAGAAGAGAGCTGCAACCAAGATTACGATTATGGTGATAATCGAAGGGTTGAAATCAGCATACGGCATCCCATCTGGGGGGAGCTGAAGCTTGAGCTCCGACATAAGGTACGAATTGCAGCACAAAGAGTAACAGAAATGGCGGAATCAGTAAATCGCTATAGCAGCTACTCTTGTTTTGGTCGGAACCCATGTTAATTTTTGGTAACTTTGTAAAGATTGGAGATAAAATTAGGGTTCTTGATGGATATGGGACACAAGGTCATAAGGACAGTGGTTTAGTTTGACTTTCACAAATTGGGATTTATATAGGGTCGAATTTGGGTTAACCCAATCAGGGGGGCTTCAATAATGGGGTCTTACATGGATGGCTCGCCAAAGATTGGCTGCTTTTTGATCAATAATTTACATATTTTTTTATCTTTCCTTAAAATCTAGTCGTTTATTCCCATTTCCCACGGAATTTGATGATACTTTTGGTAATAATTAAAGACCTTCTCGAAGGAGTTATAATTTTTGTATGATACTAGGAGGTATATGAAGTTGGAAATATAACTTGCTTCGACAAATGAAGACAATTTAACCGAATTAAGATGAAACAAAGTCAAAGGTGAACGAATGATATGCCATGAAAGCTAACATAAGAGGAACCAAAACAAAGCCAAACAAAAGAGCTGGATTTGCATTTTCGGGTGTTACTTTCCTAATATGCTAACCGTTTATACCTTCGCCAATTCATAGTTATTTTTTCAAATAGTATTTATTTTTTCCTTAAAAATTGAGTAAAAAATAAAGTAAATCGTTTTTTATTTTCAATCTTATTTTAGTTTTTACTCCACTTTTTATTCTAAAAATATATTCATTCTTCCGATTTACATAAATTATCAAATACACTCTTCTATTAATTTTGTTTTAGCAAATATATATATATATATATATATATATATATATATATATATATATATATATATACTAGTTTATAATCCGTGGAAACCACGGTTATAAAATTAATCAAACTTTTATAGTAAATTCAAAATTATTAATAATTTATTTTAAATAAATTATTAATTTAAGAGATATTGTTATTAGTTATGTGAAATTATAATCATTGATTCAAATAAATATATAAAATTAATTTTTAATATACATTTTTATTTGTGAATTAATGAAAACAATAATTTAAAATGGAATCACATTAATAAGAAGGTCTAATAAATTTAAAATGGAAAACTAATAGATTGACAAGTGGCAACACATTAATTAAAATGTCTAATATGATGACACATGACAAAAAAGCTACTATTTTATTAGTATAGGGATTTTATTTGTGAATTAATGAAAACAATAATTTAAAATTTAAAATTTAAAATGGAATCACATTAATGAGGAGATCTAATAAACTTAAAATGAAAAACTAATAGATTGACAAGTGGCAGCACATTAATTAAAATGTCTAATATGATGACACATGATAAAAGAGCTACTCTTTTATATATATATATATATATATATATATATATATATATATATATATATATATATATATATATATATATATATATATATAACTGCAAATCTAACCTACTTCAAAACTAAACTTTAAATCCATCTGTTAGGGTCAGGATCCTTACTATATCTAGGATCCTCAAATATTCAGGATCCTCAGCAACATCAGGGTCCTGGCTAATTACCGTTATTATTTTTATTATTGATAATACTTATAACAATCATATTTATTTATAACTAACACGTGTGCAGAAGTAGTCAAGGGAAGACCAATTCTTAACGAAGAATTACCTCAACAATGCTAAAGACTCAGAATAATTGGTCAAATAACGTTCACAAAGTTTGTCATAGAGGCTTCCGGAAATATCGGACATCTCGTTAGCTAGATTAGACTATATATTGACACTTGTAATCTGCACACAACATATGAATTCTTAGTCTAGGCTTACTCTACTAATTTCTACATTTATTCTTACTGAAAAATCACTATAATCTTTACATTATATCAATGAAATCATCAAGGCAGGTGATTATTATCACCCCCCAAGGTTGTATGTCGGAGATCCTAATATGGATCAAGGGCTTTCCTTGTAAACCATTGTGTCACTTTCTTTTACCACTTGCTTTTACACAATCTGAACATCACAGTCTCTCATTCAATTTGGTTGATTAGTATTTGTGTAATTTTTTACCAAAACAATTTGGCACCCACCGTAGGGTCGTGGTGTTCAAATTCCTCAAAAAAAATCATGTCTACATAACCGATCCTCTCCTCGTCCTCTGCTCCTTTTATCCTAACCAAAAACCTACCACCTCCTCCGAGTGGACACCCCACTCAGAGGAAAACGTCCGACATTTCCACAAAAAGCACCCCCACAATCGCTAATCTTGGAAATTTAGGATCCTCAAGGCTCCAGGATCTGACTGCCTCAGTAATGCGGGATCCTCAGAAAATTGCCAGAAGAACACAATTCCTGCCACTGTGGCATCACCTTGGAGGGAAACAATGGACAACCGAGCGTCCATGATTAATGATCTCAATGAGCCTTTCAACACTCCGAGAAACATTGACTCTAATAACTGCTTAAACAGCAATACTATTAATACTAACTACACTAATGTTGATGCATGAATAAACCCGAACATGGATAGGGAACTTCAACAGCTAAGACAAATGATCTCTAATATACTTGGAGTGGTCCAACCAATACTAGAAGCATCCCCTATAAGCCACAGGATCTCGAAATTTGCTCCTATGATAGTCGATATCGAAGTTCCTAAATACTTCCAAACTCCCAGCATGAAGTTATTGTTGGGTTATGAGCATTCTAACACTCCTAAGTGTACATGCAACCCTAAATACCTTGGATCTATGTTTTCTCTATTATACATGCAAATATGAACATCCAAGGTATTATCCTAATCTAGCATACAAAACTATCAATATAACAAGATAGAATACATACCCCTTTGATGTAGAATGTCTTCATGAAGCATGAGTGCCTAGTGCCCCAAGTGTGACACCTCAAATGGTTCACACAACACCAAATACACTTGGAATAGCTTGAGAAAACTCTACACTTCATGAAAATCGGCTAGCCCTCTCTAGAATAATACTAGTGTCGATTTTGTCAAGAATAAGATCTTTATATAGTGTTACAATTAGGGTAAACCCTAACTGTCATGACTTTCCATTTCCTTGGATCCATGGGTTCAAATACACCATGGAGCATCCATGGACCATCCTATGGGTTTTAGCCCAACTTGATTATCCATGGAGCATTAGCCCACTATACAAGTATGGATGATTTACACAATCAACCCATATATTTAATTAGTCTTCTTTTGATCACTTAATTAATACTAGATTAATTCTTGATCAATACTAATTAAATAATCTCATTATTCTTATTATTAATATACTAGAACTTATAATATATTAATAACCATAAGTGTCTTATTTCTCTCATTATAGTCTATCCAAGTGCATGATGCCATGCAACCCAAATGGACCATGTCGGGTCGGTCAAGTCTTACCAATTATAGTTATGGACTTAGACATTAATCCAACAGTCTCCCACTTGGATAAGTCTAAAACTATTATTGCGTATGACTTCAGGAACCAACTGGCAATCGTAGCTCTCAAAAGCTTCTGTCGAACTCTACCTTGCCGATAAACTTGACCTTTGTCAATGACTTGTCCATTAGATAAGGGATCATATATTCCTCCATTCTAGATATCATATGGACTGAGACATGGATTATAATCATTCTCTCTGTCCATTTGTTGTTTCCCGATTTCCGATTTATGACGACTGACTAATTGAACAAATCAAATCAGTCCTGGCCCGGCCGAGCACTTCCATTTGTCATCATCAAATCATCGAGGGGCCCACAGATATCGCTTTTATCCCGAAGGTAAAAGGAATGGATAAACTTCGACTCATATGGCTTGTTCTACTACTTGTTGAATCATACACAAAGACACGTTTTATAGCACCGAGTTACCAAATGCGGTTTCGTGCAATCAATGTACTATCAACTCATAGTAACAACTCATATCTCTAGGTTTGAAGAATATAAGATATTATCGTCTCATGATCACTCGTGATAAAATCCATGAAGTGATTCCAATGAGCGCGGGTTGAATCCAATACTCAGAACTTATGAGCACTCATGAGTGTTGTAGCCCTTTGTCCAACACCTTAGACCTCTACAAGCCAACCCATGACAGTCTTAATTCATATCTACTTCCAACATATCCGACTGTGGATGGTTTGAATAACTTAGTCATTCCGGAGTAACCTAGTTTATTCGGGAAGTCAAAACATGCAAAGTGAAACACAATAATAATTGAATCCAATATGGTATCAAAACCTATGAACATAAATAAAACACTTTTTATTTATCACCATATGATTACACATTATTCATTGTATACTGTTTCAGCTATCAACTTTATTCTTGAATTTAAAACAATAGTTGTCCCATGCTCCAAGCATGTACACTATGTTTTCTAAACACTAGTCATGCCATACACCAAGTATGCATACTATGTTTGTCTATGATCTTTACTTTGTGAACTAGATCAATTGAACATAACTTCAATGATCTCTTTTCACACTCCCAAATCCTCTGCAAATGCAAGAATTCCAAATTCATGCCATTTACTGAAATCTGTTAGATTCTAAACTTAATGCATTGGTCCTCTTGTAATGATTATGCACAAAGTCATAAATACTTGACAACAAACATTACAGAGCATTCCAAAGGAGATCAACTCCTTGGAAACATCCTTCTTGCATTAAGTTTCCTTAATCTTACACAGATTGAAATTTCTGACTTTGAAACATTTCCAGATTCATTTTGACTATCACTTCTGAACAAGAGTTGCCTCCTTACAGATTATGTCAATATGGTCCTTCCAGAATTATCACTATACTTCCAACATCCTTGAGCAACCAATCTTTGGTAAACCTTAGATTGTCCTCGACAATTGTTTAATCCTTTTAGTCATATTCAGTTCTAAACCTTTTCCCTTCTTAATGCCCCAGGCATTTGGAAACTTTTAGAACGGATAACTATAGTACATGTAATCG